GAGTCCATAGTCTCTCATGGTTCACCTCCCCTTCCAATTCTGTTAACTGATAAGATGACCTACACAAGTGTGTGCCTCATGAGACAGCACTTGCTCTGAGAACATACACGCTCTAGGACAGAAACTAAGAATAGCTGAGAAAAAGTTCCTGGAGCATGAGCAGTAGAAAGAAAAATTTAAATTAGAAATAGATGGACAACATGTTGAATCAATTGGAATAAAAATACACAGGCTGAAATTCAGCATCAAACCTGTTATTCAAATATTTTGTCTTCGGATGTGTTCATGAACCTACTGAAAAAGGTCAAGTCTCCCAGCTGGAGAGAACCAGCATGTGGGTCATGAGAGACCAACCTTCCCCAATGGCTGCTCCATCTTCACGCTGCTTGACTAGTAGTGCAGGGGATGAAGGGCTAGTCATCATTAGCCATAGAATATAAGATATCATGAAGTTGGTAGCGTGGATGGAGAAGCGTAGGATGTGGTGGTGAATCCTCCAGACTCCCTAAAGGAAGCACGACCATGCCCAGCTGTCAGGGGCTCCAGTCTGGGCTGAACAGCGTCAGTCTTTGGGACTCCAGATGTGAGGGGAAGGTCTGGTTCATCTGTGGGTGGACACATTTGAATTATAGAAAGCCATAGAGGTGAAGATAAAAACTGCAAATTATTACTTGTACTTTAGACACTAAAACTGCACTTTCTAAAACTAAATTAAATTAAGTTAAAAATTAAATTAAATTAAATGGCGTACTAGGCAGTACAGAATAGACCATTTCCATCATGCAGATAGCTCTATTACAGGGCACCGCTGTAAGACGTGGTGAGCATAACCGAAAACGTCTTAAGCCACATCAATAAAACGCAACTGGAAGTGTGGAGAAAGACAGGGATTTTCATTGAATTAGGCACTGTGAGGACCTCAGAGTGTGCTGTTCTTCAGGACACGTGGGTCCAGTTCATGTCAACGGCCGCCACTGCTCTCAGACATGAGAGGTGGTAACTGTGAGTGACGGGGTCGAGGACCTCACACACAGGTTTTCAAAAAGTGGGAGGTATGCAGACACATCGGTGAGTTCATGGTAGCATCACCATGAGCTCTTGCGGGACCTGAAGGAAAAGCATGGCAAGGGGCATGGTCTGAGCCAGAACCCTCTTCATGTCCTTTTACTGCAGTTATCCATGACAACGTTGGCTTCCTCTCTTCGCATGAATGAAATTGTTATCTAGGGAAATCTCTTTGAGAAAGAATGAGGCTCAGGCAGAAAATGTCACTGGGCTTTAGAATTAGATGAGGAAGGAGCGGAATTCTAAACCTCCTGGAAATTAGCCATAGGAAGGAGCTGACTGTGCAGTTGGAAGATTAAGCATTTGCCGATACCTTGTAGATGAAGAAGGCTCAGGAAAGGCTTGGTTAAGTGACGGTCTAGGGCAGTCTTCACTCCTGTCCACATTCCTCCTGAGGCTGGGCTGGAAGGGCAAAACCTTCAGAGGCAAAGATGAGATTTTGTTACACAAAACTGTGGTCGGCTACTGACTGTAGATGTAGTAAGAATTGAGGCTATTTTATGCTTTCTGTTAACAGTTTGCTAAGTTCACATTGTTTATACCAAAATCATTAAAGTTGTAAATCAGACATCTTTGCAGGAAAAACAGGAAGGTCCTCATAGGATTACAGAGTTTCCAGGAGTAGCAGATGGAACATCTCCTTACATTTACACAAACTTGTTCCAAAACGTATTTGCTGTATTAAATCGATTCTAGGTGATGCCCACCCCCACCCCCCAACCCTTTCTTTCTTAGGAAGATTCATTTGTCTAGAACCACAACTAGTGATGGGTTTCCAGGGAACCTTTCAGTTTGGGCAAGAAGTTTTACAAAAGGGATCTGGGAGTTTGAGGGACAGACACAAGTGTAGGAGGGGAAATTTCCTCTTAAAAGAGACCTGACCACAAATGGTAAGTTTTTTTTGTTGTTGTTTTGTTTTGTTTTGTTTTTAGTAAAAATCTGTGGTTATGCACTAAGGAAATTTTGTCAACCAAGGAGGAAATAATTATGCCATTTTAGGTAGCAAGAAATTAAAATTAAAGTTAGGTATTTTTCCTGCGAAATTTGTCTTCTGCATGTTTTCAGTTTAGAAGGAATCCCCTTAATGGTTTCGTTCACCATTGTTGGGTTGCTATCAGGAAACGATTTGTTTTGCTCAGCTCATTACAGTGACCTGCAGATTCAGTAACCTCCAAATAGAAAACTGTTGTGTGGTTTTACCCACGTAACCGTGATTTCTCGTGGAATAAGGCAACTGTTTTATCCCCAACTTACTTTTGCTTTATTTTATTTTGTACATGATCCTAAAATTCCTCAAATCAGAACAGTTACTTGTGACATGGATGTTTGGTGTAGGTCATTCCCAACGGTTGGATGTAGAATTCGTATATATGTTGATGTGTGTGAGTCCTTTTATTCACACTGAACTCTACCAGGACAAGGGGTTTATAGCCTCCCTCCCTACTCTTAATTTGCTCTTAATTTAATATTCTCAGTACTTGGAAAAAAAGCCTGGCACATAGTTAAGTGTTAATCAATGTTTATTTAATGAATGAAAGAAAGAACAAATAAATGACCAAACTTCAAGAGACTTGTAGATTTTCTAAGATACAGATGTAATACTTACTAAATTTAACTTACAAATGTAATTTGAAAGAGGGACAGGTTTGTAGACGCCTGCACTTCTGGCTGTGGCACCATGTGTGCGGCAGGTTCGTAACGCCCCCATGCCACAACCCTCATGCTGCGAACCACCTGATACCTCCACCTGGAGCCTCAATCTCAACGCGACCCAGACAGATCTGTGCACCTCAATACCGTCCCTGCAAACTTGCGTCATTGGCCTCTGTGAATGGCACCATCTTTCTCCTCTATGGCTGATCCTGGTTCCGCCATGCTATCGCTGCAATTCCACTCCTCTCCATCACTAACACCGTCTAGTTTTCTACAAACACCATGATTTATCCCATTTTCCTGACTCCATTTTGCACTGTGTTCTTGGTCAATAAGAGATGTTTGAAATAATCCTATTTCTCTCTTTCTTTTCATCCCCCACCCAGGCTTTGGTGAGATTATAAGGAAAGTGATTCTTCAATTATTACTAACTTTTTTTCTGAAATATCAAACAAATCTTGGAACACTGAAAAACTTTACAAATACATTTTAAATAATTATTTAAAATTAACTCTATCTTTTTAACATACTTGGATATGGGGATTTCTCACAAAAATCATTTCTTGGGTGCTTCCTTCAGGTCGATTTTGGTTTTACTCAGACAACTGCTTTCATGAAAAGAGTGTGTGACATATTCTTTGTCACACACAGGGTTTTGAGTCTTCAAATACGGATTAATTTTGGTCTCATCAGAGAATTATAACTTGCTTGAATAAAAACTTTGGGATGATCTTGTAATAAGATCAGAATTTTGAAATGTTTCCCCACAGCCTTGAGTGGGAGGTATCTGAAGCCAGTGTCATTTTTCTTTGAAACTAATCTGCATTTTGTCTGAAACTTTGCAGGGCTTTTCTTTACCCCTAGAATTCAGAAATAATACCAGGATGAGAGGGGTTGTGGGCTTTTTCTAATGTTTGGTCACGATTCTGTGAGTCCTCTCTACAGGAGAAGTCGAGATTTTAGGTTCGTTTTGTTTTGTTTTCTTTAAGGGACTTCCGTCTCTGACATCTTTGTCCCTGGCAAATATTTTGTTTTGTTTTGTTTTGTTGTTTGTTTGTTTGAGGTTTCTCCAAAGTTAATGTTTGAGACTTTATTTTTTTTATTTTTATTTTTTTAATTTAATTTTGTTTTTTCAGTGTTCCAAGATTCATTGTTTATGAATATTTTGACAACAGGTAGGTTCTGACTTCACATCAGCTTGATGAATCCAGGAAAACCAAACAGAACAGCAGTATTCCTACTGGCTTCAGGCTACCCTGGCCAGCATCCTGAGGGGAACAAAAATAAGGACTCCCCATGGTAATTAATTCTCCCAGCAACACAACAGGCCGCCAGCATGCTTTCCTTGCTCCAGTGGAACTCTTTCTGGCCAGATACCCCAAGGAGACACCAGTGCTCCCCGGCCATGAGCTGAGCACCCTTCACACCCAGAGTGAGGCTTGCCCACGGACTTCTAGACTAATTGGGGTGGGGGAACCCAAGGCCCCTGTGTGTTCCCTCCAGACCCACTCATACCACTCAAGTGAGAATTACCTGTCTTCCCACTGTCGGGGCAAGCCTACCCTAGGACCCTTTCAACAGTGGTAGCTGGTCTGATGGCGGAAGCTGGGCATAAGGGCTTTTTCTTATTAACAGGCTGCCTGCATGGCCACGACTGCTCCCTGTCGTGGTGGTGGTATAGCAGCTCTCCGGATGTCCCGTGTCTTCTGAAGCTGGTTTGAGAAGAACAGAAGGAAGAGACAGAGGGGGTGAGGGAAGGGAGGGAAGGAGGGGAGTGGTGGGGGGAGCAGTCTCAAGAGGGAAAAACAGGGGCAAGTAGAGGATGAGGGTTGGGGAGGACCACTGAGAGGGAGAAGGGGTTGCAGCAGCTGGACGAGGGGCTGCTAGAAAGGCCACGAGCACTGTGGGCCACTTCCACCCCCTCAGGACACCAAGAACCCACGTGTGGACCCGATTCCTCCGAGGCCAGAAGAACCTATGTTTTCCAGCCGGCCCAGGCTGCAGACTCTGTCCTGAGCCAGGACCCCTCTGACAGTGCGTGTGCACAGAGACAGTCAGGGGAAGCAGGGAGAAAACCTGGAAGCCAGAGAGGGGCAGAGAGGGAAGGGAAATGAGAGCCACGTGAGGCTGTGCTGAGGAGGCAGGAGGGTTTCCCTGACAGGGAAGTAGGCAGAGGGGGAGGTGTGCCTCTCTGTGGCAGGGGAAGTCAGACAGAGCAGTAGGGTTCGGAGGGCAGTGGTATTTGAGGCCTGTAGAGGCATCCTTCACCTGACCGAGCCGCAATGCTGCTCCTGCTGCTCCTGTTCTCTGAGGGACTGCTCCAGCTCGGGGCGAGTGCAGAGGGTAGGAAGGGCCCTGGAAAGGCTCCTGAGGCTGGGCGCGCAGGGGGGCATCTGGGAGGACCTGCGGGAGGGAGGATGGCTCCCACTGGATGCCCTCGGAGTCTGCATGCCAGACTGCCTCCAGGCAAAGCATCCTGCACCAGCTCACTTTCTGTTTCTGGGTTTGGGGAGAGGGAGCAGACCTGGGGAGCAGGGTGGGCTACGGGAATGTGTGCAGTCTGTGTAACTGTCTCCATCGTTTCACTCCCATGTGGACTCTCCCTCACCCATCCTCGCATACTCTGTCTGCATGGCCTGGCTTCTCAGCATCCCAGGTCCCAGGACCCCCTCACCCAGCCACAGAAGAGCCCCTCTCCTTCCGCGTGCTCCAGTCCTCCTCCTTTGCCAACAGCAGCTGGGCGTCCTCGCATGGCTCAGGCTGGCTGGGCGAGCTGCAGACGCATGGCTGGGACAGTGTCCTGGGCACCATCGTCTTCCTGTGGCCCTGGTCCCAGGGAAACTTCAGCACCCAGGAGCTGAAGAACCTGCAAAACCTCTTCATGCTCTACTTCCACGGCTTCACCATCGAGGTGCAGGCTTTTGCCCACGAGTTTCAGTTCGAATGTGAGTTCCTTTTCCCAAGCCCATACCTGCCTGAAGGCTCCAGCCCGCTTTCAAAGGGGCTCTGACCTCACCCAGTCTTGCCGACCTGTTCCCTGTCCCTGCTGGGCTCTTGCTGTCTTTTCTGCCTCACCAGTCACCACCGTCCCCAGTCCACCTGCCCACCCGCCAGAGACACAGATGGGCTTGCAAGGACACAGCCCTTCACATCGTATACCCCTCCGTGTTCTGGCTCCTTGCAATCGTGTCTCCCTGTGATCATCCGCCCACCAACCCTGACCCCAGACATGGCCTTTCCAGCCAGTTCTGCCCTCCCTTGTCCCTGGCCTGAGAGTCAATCAGGCCCAGCCTGTACCTAACCATTGCCAAGGGAGCCCTTCCAGTCAGGCCTTCAATGCCCCAACACCTTCCCATCTAGCCCGTCTGCATCAATTATTCCTAAATACCTTCGTATCTTCACATTTTCTTCCCACAAATTCCCTCCCCTCCTGCACCCGACTCCAGCATGCTGTGTGATTGCAGAGAAAAGTTCCTAGACGGCTTACTTCCCTTCCCTGTAATTGTTTCCACATGGCTCTGTCCACCCCCAGACCCTTTCGAGCTCCAGGTGTCAGCTGGCTGTACAGAACATGCCGGCAAGTCCTCTGGAAGCTTCTTGAATGGGGCGTATCAAGGTTCCGATTTCCTGAGTTTCCAAGGAAACTCCTGGAAGCCGTCTCCAGGAGCCGGGAGTCCGGCTCAGAAGGCCTGCGAGGTGCTCAACAGCTACTTAGACATTAAGGAAATTGTGCAGAGACTTCTCAGCAACACCTGCCCTCGGTTCCTGGCAGGAATCCTTAAAGCCGGGAAGTCAGAACTGGAACGACAAGGTGAGTTTCCCGACACTTTGAGCTTCATATTCTGCCCTTTACCATCCCTCTGTAACATATACTGAGAGGCTCGAGGGTGGGGTTTGAGTTTGGGATTGTTCCTTAAATGAGGGAAGGAAGAGATTACTCCAGCTGCTAAGACCACCGAGTCACTGAGCTCGGCCCAGGTGCCCCTAAGTGCCTCGTCTCCTCGTCTTCTCTCCAGTGAAGCCCGAGGCCTGGCTGTCCGCTGGCCCCCATCCCAGTCCCGGCCGTCTGCTGCTGGTGTGCCATGTCTCCGGCTTCCACCCGAAGCCCGTGTGGGTGATGTGGATGCGGGGTGAGCAGGAGCAACGGGGCACCCAGCGAGGCGACGTCCTGCCCCATGCTGATGGGACGTGGTATCTCCGAGTGACCCTGGACGTGGCGGCCCGGGAGGCGGCCGGTCTGTCCTGCCGAGTGAGACACAGCAGTCTGGGAGGCCAGGACATCGTCCTTCACTGGGGTGAGAAAGAGCTGGGGCCTGGCTGGGAAGCAACGGTCCTGGGCTGCTGAGGGAGGTGTATGGAGGTAGATGGGAACACACTGCACAAGAGGACAGAGGTGGGACCACCTGAAGAAAGAAGGGCAGAGAGTGAGCGCCATCAAATTTCAAGAAATGGAGGAATGAGATTGGAGTACTGAAGAGAAAAGGAAGAAAGTCCTGGTTACTTGGGAAATAGATGGGGTGTGGATTGGGGACACCAACTCAGGAGGAATTGAGATGAAGTCTTCAGATGCAGAAGAAAATTCTAGGAAGGAGGGAAGCATTGATGGTGGTGGCCCACGGAGAGCCGCGTAGACTGACACCCTTGCTTCACGCCCCAGGTGGTGGGAACTCAGCCCTGCTGACCCTGCTCTGTCTCATGGCCACAGTCAGCCTGCTGGTGCTGCTTGTAGGGCACTTCTGCTTGAGAAGGCACAGGTGAGCCTCCTCTACATCTGTTTCTTCAACTTACCAGCTCATTCTTCTTTCTTCTACTCTCCCCGCTCTCTCTCCGATTTCCTTCCTTGGGATGAAAATCCTCTTCTTCTCCCACAGCTCCAACTGGAAGGCCCTGGCACCCGCTGCCCCCAGTCCTGAGTCGCCCACCGGGGCCGATGGCCAGGGACCCAGGACTCTCAGACACCAGGTCTACATGCCGCAGGAGTCCTGGATCAAAAATAGATTTTTAAAGAAATGGAAAACAAGCCTAAACCAACTCTGGGGATGTTAGTTTTACCCAGCGCATGATGTCCTTTTCTGCTTCTTAAACACGGTTTGCACCTATGAGCAAAGCATAATTTTGATGAAACAGCTTGTTGCCGCAGAAATCTTGACCCCTTGGAAACCTCTCTTACTGCTTCCCATTGTCCAGCAGTATCTCTTCTGCGCGGCCGCGTGTCCATTGCTACTGACTCTTCAGACTCTAACTCAGGTGCTCCTCTCGCACGGAAGCGTCCCTGCCTTGCCCGACTGAGAACACGTCTGTACTTCTGCGACGGGTGGAGTCGTCCTGAACACGCTCATCTCTTCCTACTGGGAACACTGCTTATTTAGATTTCTACTTTTCTGTTTTTTTCCCGAGTTGCTTGAACGCAGGATGTAGGCGTTTGGGATGGCACCTGTGACCCTAACCCTGACCTGGATTTGGGGCCAGATTCTTGGGCATGTCATCTACGTAGGGCTTGCTGTCTTGAAACGTTTCATAACACTTGGAGGTACTGCATTCTCACTCTGGACTCACCCCACAAATTACGTAGCTGGTTCAGAGTAAAACGTTTCTCAGTAAATGCTGCCTGAAATAAATTTGTGTCAAATCCAGTGATGTTTTCTTCATCCATGCCCCTTTGACCTCACGGCACCATCTGGCAGTGTTCTCATTAAAACTCTTTCTGGGGGCGCCTGGGTGGCTCAGTGGGTTAAGCCTCTGCCTTCGACTCAGGTCATGATCCCAGGGTCCTGGGATGGAGCCCCGCATCGGGCTCTCTGCTCAGTGGGGAGCCTGCTTCCTCCTCTCTCTGTGCCTGCCTCTCTGCCTACTTGTGATCTCTGTCTGTCAAATAAATAAACAAAATCTAAAAAACAAAAAAACAAAAACAAACAAACAAAAACCTCTTTGTGCCTCCCTGAGTCTCTCACCAGAGCTGAGGAGGGCAGGTGTGTGTGTGCTCCAGATGGCTCTGTGATTGGCGCGTCTGTGCATCTTCTGAGACATCTCAAGGAAATAATAATACAGCAGGTATCTCCCGTCAGAGCAGGACGGAGCATTCCCACTTCTCTGAGACTGTGTGTGACCACGTTTGCCTTCACGTCGCAGATACTCAGGGAAGAAATTCCTCCTTGGAGTGAGTGGTCAGGAAGAGGACGAGGAGATGGGGGATGGGCAGAGCCAACGGCAGCGAAGGAAAAGAACGATCAGTCGCTGTGTTTACGTCTCTTTATTGGTTCAGGTTATAATTATAAACATTATTATTTAGTTTTCCCCTAACTTTTAAAAATACAGATTTAAAAATTATCTACTTAACTTTGAGACCCATTGTCTGAGCCTGCCAGAGAGCAGGAAGCCGGTAAGGTGTCGAGTTCATCCAGATGTGCCGCCGACACCTCTCCTTAGATAGGATAATTGAGCACCATGTGCAGATTTCTTAGTGGAAATGTGTCACTCTTTATAGTGGGCATTTTCAGGTTAAGACACAGGGCTCCATGACCCCTTATCCAGGCCATACTCTCACTCACGAACAAGGTTTTGGGGTCTGGCCTTCCCCCACCAAGTCCATCACCTTCTGTATGACATATTCAGGCAGCTTGGATAGAGGAGCCCCAGGAAGAATGCAGAAATTTCCAGGCCATTTGGAGCCCTCTGTGATGAAGTTCGAGGTCCCCCCACATGGCACAAGGCCATAAGTGGGGGCCTCTACCAAAATGAAGAGGCCCACAGAGGACTTCTCGGTTCCTAGCACAAGTGTGGGATGCAAATATAGTTTAGATGATTCTGACTTGGATGGACCTTTCCCCACTACTCTAATTTTTTGGTTACAATAATTCTTGAACTCCTAAGATGCCTGAAGCTCAGTTCTCAGGTCCCGTGTCCACCCGTCCTCCCGAGTGTGTGTCGTGCTCCTGGGAGGCTAGGCTTCTCTCTGTCCTTCACTATGCCAAGCTCCTCAGCTCTAGACCGTTATTGTAACTCTTCCCTCTGCCTAGAACCATCTTCATTCACGCTGATCTTCTGTGGATGATTCCAAGACAACGTTCAGCTTTCAGCTCAAGCGTCATCCTCATGCAGAGGCCCTTTGTGGCCAGTGTAGCCCAAGTGGCCCCTCTCTCTCAGTCACTTTCTATTCCAATGTTCTTTAGTTATTTGTGTTAAATATTGGGTTGAGCTGAAATTATCTCATTTTCTTTTACATATTAGTGTCCTTCCCACCTACCATGTAGGCACTGTGACATCATGTATATGATCTGTCTTGACCACATGTGAATCCCAGTGCCTAGAGTGTAGCTGGACATACAGTGGGTGACCAAAATTATGTTTGTTGAATGAGCAAATGCCATCATCTTTGACTTCCCAGAGAAGATCTTGGAGATATCAGTTCTCCAGGAAGCCCTAGGTTTTCGGGAGGTGACAGGTTTCCAAAGTGCCGGTGTCAGGGAAAGATGAGGTGCGTCCTCGACATTGTGGTCGTGCGGTCACCGGCGACTCTCTCTTTCCCTTGGGCTATTGTCTTGAGACATGTAGCCAGAGCCCGAGATGCAGATAGGGAGGAAGGCAGGAGGGAGATCTCAGAAGGTCCCCTCAGGACTCTTTACACTGTAAGTGAGGACACCAGTTAACCACAGAGTGCTGCTCTGGGTTTCTCTGCTGCTGAATTGTACAGATCATCAGGGAGTGTTTTAGGGAGGATGATTGTTGAATACAGCGATTTTCAGGAAACCCTGGGTTCCTAAACATGATACCCTAACCCATCTTAGCTCTACTTCTGGCAAGGTTCCATAGTTGAGTGGTGGGAGTATGTTTGGCTGAGGCACAAGATACGTACCCAAAGGTGATGGACTGGGGCTGCCTACACATGTGCGTCCCTTTCCTCTCTCCCCTCAGACTGTCACAGATGAGCTCAGAGAGAGCCCTGGGGTAAATGACTGTATTGCCGGATACGTATGGAGAAGTTTGACATACAGGTTCAGGAGATTGTCAGAGAATCTGGGTGTCATCCTAGTGTAGACGTTCGGGTTGGGTAATCTCATGTAATTAAAGCTTCTGGGTGAGGACCTAGTATTTAAGAGCAAAATGTGTCACCTCATGACCCCAGAGGACAGCTATCACCTACTACTCTTAACTGTGTGCTTCAGGCTGAACTCCTGGAACCCGGCTTATTTCTCTGGAAGGCCAGGTGTTCTAGGTAGTGAGAGGTAATCCTCTCCACACCCGCCAGCTATACCACCGAGAAGGGGATCTGCTCTGCTGCCTGTCTATCCTGGAGCCTGCTGTATTCTGTCACACACACAAATGTGGTACAAACACTACAAGACCATTTGGAAGCAGAGATGGAGGCATGATTCCTGGTTGCTGGTGAATTCTCCAGGACTGGCAGTGACTGTTGGCGGAGGCTGCAGTGGGACCATGTGGGACCAGGATGGGCTGGGCCACGCTCAGTAGCCATAAGACCTCAGGCAACCACAGCTGAGAGAACACTCATCTGCTGTCTTCTGCCTGAGAAACAAAGATGGCCAAGGATGTGGACAACTTGGTTACATGGAGCAATGTTCCCTGGGACAGGGATCCAGCCTCCCAGAATGCCACCTGCTGGGAAGAGAGATTTTTATGCAGAACGTGCTGTGGGGCCCTTGTTGGGGGGAAAGGTCATGATTTCAGGGTTATAGGATTGAGCCCCACATTGGGCTCTGTGCTCAGTGTAGAGTCTGCTTTGGATTCTTTCTTCCTCCCCTCTGCCTTTCCCCATTCTCTTGCATGCGCTCTCTCTTTCTAATGAATGAATGAATAAATTAATTAATAATAAATAAATAAGCAAAGTACCTATTTTATGGTACGGTTAAACCTGATTGAATACTAATAAACATCCAAATGCAGTCGGCTGTGCAGAAGACACTGTCCTACACGCTTGACACATATTAACTCATGTGGTCCTCACAACAATTCTGAGGCAGACAGTTATTCCCACTCTAAAGATAAGGAGACAAAGGGCACATAACTAGTAAGCGACGTAGGCAGCTTTGCTCCCAAACCCACGCTTGGCCACTACACCACACCCTCAACAATAACTATTGGAGGCCTGCCTCGTGGCAGGTAATGAAATGCAGCAGAGACACAAGGTGAAATCCCTTAGACACAGAACTTCCACGGTAGTGGGGTACATGGTGGGGAACATGGTAGGAGGTCTGTGAGTTGGGGCCAGATCCTAAAGGGGCCTCCAGGGCACTGCACAGGGACTGAAAGTCATTGGAGAATCGGGGATAAAAGAATAGCAGCTTTAGGTAAAAGGAGATGAGCTCTCAGGCACATGGGCTGTCTGGCCTCACCACTGGGGGACCACAACATGGGGTGTAATAGCACACACTCCCACACCCCGGTCTGCTTCTCTGCACTGGCACTAACTGAAAGTCTGTCTCAGTGTTGCTCACCAACCAGTTTGCAACAGGGATTACCAGGTGCACCTGATGGGTTTCTCCTCTCTGGGTCATGCCCCCACGGGCCCCAGGCTGCTGCCCACGGGGTTGCTTGCAGCATCTTCAGGACATCCACTGTCACTGGTCAAAGCTTCTCACCAGTTCTCAGGTGCCTGCGCGGAGGGATGCTCCATGTGGGGGCAGGGCTATGGCTTCTCCCCCGTTCTTTCTCTCAGGTGACGTCCAGTTCCAGAAGCCACTTCACTTGTGTTTAATTTCCTAAATCTTCTAGTGTGCAATAACGTCGCCTCTGGCTCTCACCCAGGTCTTGGGACCTGACGAAGACTCTCTCTACAGCTTTTCTTCAGTGTCAGTCTGCTGGCTGACTAGTGACATCATATGAGCTAGTGACATCATCACAGGACAGGAAAGGCTACAGTTGCAGTGAAGTCACATAAACACAGCTGTTTATGTTTTCTTCTAGAATAAAAATGGAGGAAGGAAATGACTAAGAATAAAAGTATGGATAAGGACAAGGATCAAAGAAGGGAAGATTCAGCTGAGTGTACTTGGGAATAAAGTTCTAATTATTTTTACCAGGGAATGTTT